ATATTTATTTATATATTTTATTTTTCTATATTTTCATGGAACACAGTTATCAAATATCAAATAATTTGACTCATTGGTATGATGTACATGTATATTAGATAAAAAAACATCTTGGCATGGCTCATTTGCTACAACAACAAACAAACGAACTGGATAATGAACATAAAATGCTAAGACAGTGAAAAAAGTGAAGATGTGAAACTCTTATTATACTGTGGTCTCTGACCTGATGGTATCACTTTAAAATATGACTCCAGGAATGGCACTCTCATATAGATAGGCTGGGAAGTCTGACGCTCTGGAGCATCGTTACCAAAGTACAGAAGGTCTAGAATATATGACACCCAGGTGGTACCTAGAATGAATGAAGAATGGAGTGTAGGAATTATTGCATGATGCAAAACCCTCTATTAGTAAAACAACAACCACCAGAAAACATGAAAAAATGATGCTTACAACTATATAAAGTGATGATCAGTATTAAAGTATTACACGATTTCTGGATGGCTTTTGCTTTACTGCATGTATCTGAAATCTACTGGAACTGTCTAGATCTATAGGTTTTAGAACAATTTCATTTTTTGAATCATTTACACACAATACACAATTTTGTTACATAAATGTAAAACTGTGACAATTAATTTGGCATTGACTGTGTCTAAAATCAGCCTCAATACCCCTAAAATAGTGCACTACTTGAGGGGACAGACATTTGTAGTGGTGTCCGAAATCATAGTGGACATTATCAAGAGCACTTATTTGATCCCATAATGCATCGCAATAATGAGCGATGTACACTCAGTGGCTAGAAAATACCCATAATGCACTGTGAGGGTCATGCTAAAGGAATTCCCACATCTCACCAGAAGATGGTGCCTGCAGATGAACCATCCATTCATCCATTTTCCAAACTGGAGCTGCCAGTCTGCTAAGTTTCAAACAATTATAAAGCAGCAAGCTCAAAAGCGACAACAGACGACAACGAGGTTAAAGGGGTCATATGATGCGATTTAAATTTTTCCGTTCTCTTTGGGGTGCTACAAGCTCTTGGTGCATAAAGAAGATCTGTAAAGTTGCAAACACTAAAGTCTCAAATCTAAAGAGATATTCTTTATAAAAGTTAAGAGTCAACCACGCCTACCTAAAACGGCTCGTTCTAACACGCCCCCACATGTCTATGTCACGATGTGGGAAGATTTGCATAACGCCGCCCAAATGTTCACGCAAAGAAAGAAGGCGTAACTTTTATTCTCGCTGTAGTATTGTTGCTGCCGCCGCCGCCATGTCGTGAAGGCGCTGTGTGTTTCGTTGTGAAAGCGAAACTACTTTGTTTGGTCTTCCAAAAGAGGACAAATCCGCTTCGTCATACCTGGAGCTGATCCATGCTGGTCGCTGAGGAAATACATCAACTTCACGCTGTGGATCGCCAGATCTGCTTTCACCGTGGAGGAAGCGGAGTCCAGCCCGGGGTCATCACATGTGGTTGCTGCAAACCCGCCGGATGCTCCTTCGTCGAATCCGCCGGCCGCCGCTCACTCAAGTCGGCCTCCGCATTCTCTAGGCCACGGCTCTCTAGGCCTCCGGCCTCCGCTCACTCAAGGCCGCCGTGTGTGACGCTGTTTCGTTCTGAAAGCGAAACTACTTTGTTTGGCCTTCCAAAAATGGACACGACTAGAAATCAGTGGTTAAGTTGTATTTACAACACTGTTCCAGAACAGTTCAACCCAAATATTCAGATGTGTTTATGGAGGACTGTTTCCTGATCCTGGAAGAGTAGA